AGTGTCACCATGCCCTGGTTAGTGTCACCATGCCCTGGTTAGTGTCACCATGCCCTGGTTAGTGTCACCATGCCCTGGTTAGTGTCACCATGCCCTGGTTAGTGTCACCATGCCCTGGTGAGTGTCACCATGCCCTGGTTAGTGTCACCATGCCCTGGTGAGTGTCACCATGCCCTGGTGAGTGTCACCATGCCCTGGTTAGTGTCACCATGCCCTGGTTAGTGTCACCATGCCCTGGTTAGTGTCACCATGCCCTGGTTAGTGTCACCATGCCCTGGTGAGTGTCACCATGCCCTGGTGAGTGTCACCATGCCCTGGTGAGTGTCACCATGCCCTGGTTAGTGTCACCATGCCCTGGTGAGTGTCACCATGCCCTGGTCACCATGCCCTGGTTAGTGTCACCATGCCCATGCTGGTTAGTGTCACCATGCCCTGGTTAGTGTCACCATGCCCTGGTGAGTGTCACCATGCCCTGGTGAGTGTCACCATGCCCTGGTTAGTGTCACCATGCCCTGGTGAGTGTCACCATGCCCTGGTGAGTGTCACCATGCCCTGGTGAGTGTCACCATGCCCTGGTTAGTGTCACCATGCCCTGGTTAGTGTCACCATGCCCTGGTTAGTGTCACCATGCCCTGGTTAGTGTCACCATGCCCTGGTTAGTGTCACCATGCCCTGGTTAGTGTCACCATGCCCTGGTTAGTGTCACCATGCCCTGGTTAGTGTCACCATGCCCTGGTTAGTGTCACCATGCCCTGGTTAGTGTCACCATGCCCTGGTGAGTGTCACCATGCCCTGGTTAGTGTCACCATGCCCTGGTGAGTGTCACCATGCCCTGGTGAGTGTCACCATGCCCTGGTGTGTCACCATGCCCTGGTTGTCACCATGTGTCACCATGCCCTGGTGAGTGTCACCATGCCCTGGTTGAGTGTCACCATGCCCTGGTGAGTGTCACCATGCCCTGGTGAGTGTCACCATGCCCTGGTTAGTGTCACCATGCCCTGGTTAGTGTCACCATGCCCTGGTGAGTGTCACCATGCCCTGGTGAGTGTCACCATGCCCTGGTTAGTGTCACCATGCCCTGGTTAGTGTCACCATGCCCTGGTTAGTGTCACCATGCCCTGGTGAGTGTCACCATGCCCTGGTGAGTGTCACCATGCCCTGGTGAGTGTCACCATGCCCTGGTGAGTGTCACCATGCCCTGGTGAGTGTCACCATGCCCTGGTGAGTGTCACCATGCCCTGGTTAGTGTCACCATGCCCTGGTGAGTGTCACCATGCCCTGGTGAGTGTCACCATGCCCTGGTGAGTGTCACCATGCCCTGGTGAGTGTCACCATGCCCTGGTTAGTGTCACCATGCCCTGGTGAGTGTCACCATGCCCTGGTTAGTGTCACCATGCCCTGGTGAGTGTCACCATGCCCTGGTGAGTGTCACCATGCCCTGGTTAGTGTCACCATGCCCTGGTGAGTGTCACCATGCCCTGGTGAGTGTCACCATGCCCTGGTGAGTGTCACCATGCCCTGGTTAGTGTCACCATGCCCTGGTGAGTGTCACCATGCCCTGGTTAGTGTCACCATGCCCTGGTGAGTGTCACCATGCCCTGGTGAGTGTCACCATGCCCTGGTGAGTGTCACCATGCCCTGGTGAGTGTCACCATGCCCTGGTGAGTGTCACCATGCCCTGGTTAGTGTCACCATGCCCTGGTGAGTGTCACCATGCCCTGGTGAGTGTCACCATGCCCTGGTGAGTGTCACCATGCCCTGGTTAGTGTCACCATGCCCTGGTGAGTGTCACCATGCCCTGCTGGTGAGTGTCACCATGCCCTGGTGAGTGTCACCATGCCCTGGTTAGTGTCACCATGCCCTGGTGAGTGTCACCATGCCCTGGTGAGTGTCACCATGCCCTGGTGAGTGTCACCATGCCCTGGTGAGCCCTGTGTCACCATGCCCTGGTGAGTGTCACCATGCCCTGGTGAGTGTCACCATGCCCTGGTGAGTGTCACCATGCCCTGGTGAGTGTCACCATGCCCTGGTGAGTGTCACCATGCCCTGGTTAGTGTCACCATGCCCTGGTGAGTGTCACCATGTCCTGGTGTGTCAGTGTCACCATGCCCTGGTGAGTGTCACCATGCCCTGGTGAGTGTCACCATGCCCTGGTGAGTGTCACCATGCCCTGGTGAGTGTCACCATGCCCTGGTGAGTGTCACCATGCCCTGGTGAGTGTCACCATGCCCTGGTGAGTGTCACCATGCCCTGGTGAGTGTCACCATGCCCTGGTGAGTGTCACCATGCCCTGGTGAGTGTCACCATGCCCTGGTGAGTGTCACCATGCCCTGGTGAGTGTCACCATGCCCTGGTGAGTGTCACCATGCCCTGGTGAGTGTCACCATGCCCTGGTGAGTGTCACCATGCCCTGGTGAGTGTCACCATGCCCTGGTGAGTGTCACCATGCCCTGGTGAGTGTCACCATGCCCTGGTGAGTGTCACCATGCCCTGGTGAGTGTCACCATGCCCTGGTTAGTGTCACCATGCCCTGGTGAGTGTCACCATGCCCTGGTGAGTGTCACCATGCCCTGGTGAGTGTCACCATGCCCTGGTGAGTGTCACCATGTCCTGGTGAGTGTCACCATGCCCTGGTGAGTGTCACCATGCCCTGGTTAGTGTCACCATGCCCTGGTTAGTGTCACCATGCCCTGGTTAGTGTCACCATGCCCTCACCATGCCCTGGTTGTCACCATGCCCTGGTGAGTGGCACCATGTCCTGGTGAGTGGCACCATGCTTTAGTTAGTTCACCATGCCCTGGTGACCATGTGTTAGTGTTACCATGCCCTGGTGAGTGTCACCATGCCCTGGTTAGTGTCACCATGCCCTGGTGAGTGCCACCATGCCCTGGTTAGTGTCACCATGCCCTGGTTAGTGTCACCATGCCCTGGTGAGTGTCACCATGCCCTGGTGAGTGTCACCATGCCCTGGTGAGTGTCACCATGTCCTGGTGAGTGTCACCATGCCCTTGTGAGTGTCACCATGCCCTGGTGAGTGTCACCATGCCCTCGTTAGTGTCACCATACCCTCGTTAGTGTCACCATGCCCTCGACAGTGTCATAATACCCTGGTCATTATCTATATTTACTTGACAGTGTGGCCATGCTGGTCATATCATGAAGCCATCGTCCACATGACTATGTGTCACCACGTGTGGTATGTGTTGTAAGGCTGGTCCTTCGCCACATATGTGTCACCACGTGTGGTATGTGTTGTAAGGTTGGTCCTTCTCCACATATGTGTCACCACGTGTGGTATGTGTTGTAAGGCTGGTCCTTCGCCACATATGTGTCACCACGTGTGGTATGTGTTGTAAGGCTGGTCCTTCCCCACATGTGTCACCATGTGTGGTATGTGTTGTGAGGCTGGTCCTTCCCCACATGTGTCACCACGTGTGGTATGTGTTGTAAGGCTGGTCCTTCCCCACATGTGTCACCACGTCTGGTATGTGTTGTAAGGCTGGTCCTTCCCCACATGTGTCACCACGTGTGGTATGTGTTGTGAGGCTGGTCCTTCTCCACATATGTGTCACCATGTGTGGTATGTGTTGTGAGGCTGGTCCTTCGCCACATATGTGTCACCATGTGTGGTATGTGTTGTGAGGCTGGTCCTTCGCCACATATGTGTCACCATGTGTGGTATGGGTTGCGAGTCTGGTCCTTCCACCAGCAACTACATATGTATATCAGTTACACTCGTACTGCTGCCATCATCTGAGGATGATTTACGTATTGTTAAAATATTTCAGTACTGAAGTGGTTCATGTAGCTCCAACACTCAGTGGTGTCTCACAGCTGTATGATCCTTCCACTTGGATTGGTCGGTAAATCGACGGCATCACTTCAGTCATGGTCGGTGTTCGATTCTTGATGATCAATGTGGTTGAGCACCTGACCTTTACTCTGTCATCATATTCCTTCCAGGTCCTATATAGTAATACTGGTTTAGCACTTTCTTCTCATATTTACCTACATCTAACCTTCCAAGATGTCGAGGTAAATCACAATAGACTTAGGAGCCACTTGTCTTTCAGTATCTTGACTCTCATCATCTTAGGATGACTTGAACAGTAAACTACCAAAATAGACTGACAAAATAGACTGATAATGTGGTGAATAGTGATGATTACCTACACCTGTGTGTGCTGCAGGTACGAGGTGTACAATGTGTGTGTGCTGCAGGTACAAGGTGTACAATGTGTGTGTGTTGCAGGTAAGAGGTGTACAATGTGTGTGTGTTGCAGGTGCGAGGTGTACAATGTGTGTGTGTTGCATGTACGAGGTGTACAATGTGTGTGTGTGTGCTGCAGGTACGAGGTGTACAATGTGTGTGTGTGCTGCAGGTACGAGGTGTACAATGTGTGTGTGTGCTGCAGGTACGAGGTGTACAATGTGTGTGCTGCAGGTAAGAGGTGTACAATGTGTGTGTGTTGCAGGTACGAGGTGTACAATGTGTGTGTGTTGCAGGTACGAGGTGTACAATGTGTGTGTGTTGCAGGTACGGGGTGTACAATGTGTGTGTGTTGCAGGTACGAGGTGTACAATGTGTGTGTGTTGCAGGTACGAGGTGTACAATGTGTGTGTGTTGCAGGTACGGGGTGTACAATGTGTGTGTGTTGCAGGTACGAGGTGTACAATGTGTGTGTGTTGCAGGTACGTGGTGTAGAATGTGTGTGTGTTGCAGGTACGAGGTGTACAATGTGTGTGTGTTGCAGGTACGAGGTGTACAATGTGTGTGTGTTGCAGGTACGAGGTGTACAATGTGTGTGTGTTGCAGGTACGGGGTGTACAATGTGTGTGCTGCAGGTACGGGGTGTACAATGTGTGTGTGCTGCAGGTACGGGGTGTACAATGTGTGTGTGTTGCAGGTACGGGGTGTACAATGTGTGTGTGTTGCAGGTACGAGGTGTACAATGTGTGTGTGTTGCAGGTACGAGGTGTACAATGTGTGTATGTTGCAGGTACGAGGTGTACAATGTGGACGTGTGGGTGGTGGTGGTGATGGTGGTCACTCTGGCCACTTACCTCTCCCTCAGGGCCGTCCTCGCTCTCATCACCTGCTGCTGCTCCAGTACTACTAAACCCAAACAAGAATAATGAAAATATTAGACTTACCAGCGCTTCTGAACATGAACGTTTCCATGGTTAACGTCGCTATTAATCCACAGAGGAATATATTTGTCCACGTTATGGAATTACTCAGTATTAAGATCAACTACAATGACCCCAGATCACTCTCCAGCTGTACAATACTCATGGTCAGACTCCAGCTGTACAACACTCATGGTCAGACTCCAGCTGTACAACACTCATGGTCACACTCCAGCTGTACAGCACTCATGGTCACTCTCCAGCTGTACAACACTCATGGTCACACTCCAGCTGTACAACACTCAAGGTCACTCTCCAGCTGTACAACACTCATGGTCAGACTCCAGCTGTACAACACTCATGGTCACTCTCCAGCTGTACAACACTCATGGTCACACTCCAGCTGTACAACACTCATGGTCACTCTCCAGCTGTACAACACTCATGGTCAGACTCCTGCTGTACAAAACTCATGGTCACTCTCCAGCTGTACAACACTCATGGTCAGACTCCAGCTGTACAACACTCATGCTCACTCTCCAGCTGTACAACACTCATGGTCAGACTCCTGCTGTACAACACTCATGGTCACTCTCCAGCTGTACAACACTCATGGTCACTCTCCAGCTGTACAACACTCATGGTCAGACTCCAGCTGTACAACACTCATGGTCACTCTCTAGCTGTACAACACTCATGGTCACACTCCAGCTGTACAACACTCATGGTCACTCTCTAGCTGTACAACACTCATGGTCAGACTCCAGCTGTACAACACTCATGGTCACACTCCAGCTGTACAACATTCATGGTCACTCTCTAGCTGTACAACACTCATGGTCAGACTCCAGCTGTACAACACTCATGGTCACTCTCCAGCTGTACAACACTCATGATCACACTCCAGCTGTACAACACTCATGGTCAGACTCCAGCTGTACAACACTCATGGTCAGACTCCAGCTGTACAACATTCATGGTCACTCTCTAGCTGTACAACACTCATGGTCAGACTCCAGCTGTACAACACTCATGGTCAGACTCCAGCTGTACAACACTCATGGTCAGACTCCAGCTGTACAACATTCATGGTCACTCTCTAGCTGTACAACACTCATGGTCAGACTCCAGCTGTACAACACTCATGGTCAGACTCCAGCTGTACAACACTCATGGTCAGACTCCAGCTGTACAACATTCATGGTCACTCTCTAGCTGTACAACACTCATGGTCAGACTCCAGCTGTACAACACTCATGGTCAGACTCCAGCTGTACAACACTCATGGTCACACTCCAGCTGTACAACACTCATGGTCACTCTCCTGCTGTACAACACTCATGGTCACTCTCCAGCTGTACAACACTCATGGTCAGACTCCAGCTGTACAACATTCATGGTCACTCTCTAGCTGTACAACACTCATGGTCAGACTCCAGCTGTACAACACTCATGGTCAGACTCCAGCTGTACAACACTCATGGTCAGACTCCAGCTGTACAACACTCACGGTCAGACTCCAGCTGTACAACACTCATGGTCAGACTCCAGCTGTACAACACTCACGGTCACACTCCAGCTGTACAACACTCACGGTCAGACTCCAGCTGTACAATGCTCATCGTCAGACTTGGTCACTGAACCACTGTATGCTATCGACAATTGTAAAGTCGATTTATACTAAAATGCCAAATTGTGACCTTTAAAATTCAAATGAAGTCTTACGAGCTGCGGGAAATTTTAAAATAATAATTTTCAAGTTTGGACTGAGACGAGCAAGACACATTTTAGTGCAGACAAAGAAATAATCATTATCTCGTGTTAATGTCGTCGTGATTTACACACACATTGCAGACAAATATAGATTTTTTATGTTTTGAAAATAAGAATACACTATAGTAGTTTAATAATGATAGATATTGATTGCTAAATCAGTTTTCCAGAGTGATATAGTAGTTATGACTCTCATGGAATAAGAAGAAGACTTGTTATCATTACACTATGAAGACATTTTCTGAAGGCAGGTCAAAGTTTACCTCCTATTTTCATAGGAAACCAAGAACAAGATCAATAAAACACCAGACGGCTTGTTTGTCCATGCGACGACGCAACTATTGGTTTATTCGCAGAAAATGAATACTTCAATAGTTACAAGAGTTTCTTTATCTTCAATTTAGATTACTCGTCTAAATACTGACACCAAGGAAATAGTTAGAACCAAAGAAAGCTTCCATAATTGCGTCACACGTACAACACGCTACCTTATCATACAGGGTAAAAGGATACTCCCTATAACCCTAATACTTATTCATTAACCCCCTAATAACCCCCCATACAAAAACACAACAAATTACTTTACCACTCGATCTTACGTTAACCCCCTTGAATCCACATAGGCAGGTCACCAGGTCAAGGCTTACAACTGCAACTAAGGGTAAAGTCTTTGTTCCTGAAGGGACACTAGAACACACATAGGTTTCACAGTAAACAAAGGTACACGTGGTCGGTCATCTTAAGCCACCCCCAGAGTTACAGTCTGGGCTCAAACACTGGCTTAAGAGGACATCCCTAAATATCCTAGAACTCGGTGGCACAAATACTTAAGGATTAAATACCTAGCTTGGTAACACAGAATAAGAAGAGAGAAGAGAGGAGGATGAGAAGAGGTAAGGAAAATAAGACCATAAGGTAGTGTGACTAGTTAGTCTTGAGACACAGCAGAGAAGAGAGAATCAGCTCTGGGAACTCTCTCAGGATCGCTGCCTGGATGATACTCAACTGATCGTACAGTAACAATCATCTCAAGTCTTCCCAGGCCTTCATATACTGGTTACTCTAACAGTTCTAAGAATTGCTAACATCTAGCAATATTATATTATATTATATAATATTATATTAATATTCAACTACCACAGAGTCTGCCCGCTCTGTGAGCAACAAGGTTATTTCTACGTCTGATGGGCAGGGAAGGAATTATCAGGGGGAAGCGCTAAGCCATATCAAGGATATAAGATACCTTGAATATAAATTATATTATTAATTAAATATCCCTCTTACATAATCAAATCCTATCAATTAATGTTCTAATATTTATTTAATCCAAAACCCACACAAAATCCCTAAGTCAAGGCCTATCACTACCGAAGTACTTGAGTGACTGATCCCTGCATGAATATAAAAGAATCCAATTTGACCTCTGGTTTCCTGGCAGAGCCAATTAAGAACCCAGGGGTCATAACAGCGATCATGAGAATAATGGAAATTGCAGAAGGCCTATTGGTCCATATGAGGCAGGTCCTATTTATACTTATGTAGTCGAACACTAAGTTTAGAAGAGTGTTCAGAACAATGTCTCTGTAATTATCAAAAGGAAACAGATATTTATCTGTTCTTGGGAATGGAAGCAAGTAATGTGCTATGTATTATATATGTTGATACAGCTCTGAATTTAAAATGTCACACGTAATGAACCCACGGTATTTCCTACCTGACGAAGCCACAAATACAAAGCCATTACTACAGTTTGAAAAAATTCATCTGGAAAATATCCTCGGGAATAATGGGGGAGCTTTGACAAGCCGTCGGCTTCCTGTCCCCGCTGAGACCCATAGATATGGTGGACCTAAGATACACACTAAAGAGGGATGCCCATCATAACTCAAAGGATGTGGTAGGGGCTATATCTTGAGGTTATCTTGAGATAATTTCGGGGCTTATCGTCCCCGCTGCCTGGTCCTCGACTAGGAATCCTTTTTGTTGCACATCCCCAGGAAGCAGCCCATGGCAGCTGTCTAACGACCAGGTACCTATTTACTGCTAGGTGAACAGGTGTATCAGGGTGAAAGAGAAAATAGTTTCATTTGTTTCTACCTCCGCCGAGGATCGAACCCTGAACCTTAGGACTACGAATCCAGAGCGTCAACTACTCAGCCGTCAGGCCTCATATCGCGAGGAAAAGCAGGCCCTTTACAATGTAGCTACACCGGGTTATTCCACTACTCAGTACAGTGGAAGTTACGAAAACTTTACACAGGAAACTCAGCGCTCCATACATTGGATGGTCTGAACTCGATAAAAATACACTCAGTCGTCACACGAGCGCTGGGCACCTTATAACTCCGGATATCCTGATCTCAAAGCCATTCACACAAGTTGAAAAATTTAATATTTCATTGGAATAAATATATAACGTATCTAATTTTCGAGATCAGGCGAACATGGGAGCCGGTCGGCCGAGCGGACAGCACGCTGGGCTTGTGATCCTGTGGTCCTGGGTTCGATCCCAGGCGCCGGCGAGAAACAATCGGCAGAGTTTCTTTCACCCTATGCCCCTGTTACCTAGCAATAAATAGGTACCTGGGTGTTAGTCAGCTGTCAAGGGCTGCTTCCTGGGGGTGGAGGCCTGGTCGAGGACCGGGCCGCGGGGACACTAAAAGCCCCGAAATCATCTCAAGATAACCTCAAGATAGAACTATGCTGAAAATGATTTTCGAATGGTCCTAAGACATGATAGCAAACAGCGATTATAAGAAGTAAGAAGACAAACCCGCCGCATCCTCAATGGCGAATCTTGATAATGGCTATCAGAACCGGATTCAACACATCCGTTCATAATTCACAAGACACACATGTTTAAACCACCACCACCACTACAACTATGACTAGATCTCATACTTCTTTTGCTACTACTGATACTACTTCTACTTACTTTATTACTACTACTACTTACGTTATTGCTATTTCTACCTACTTTACTACTACTACTTCTACTTATTTTACTACTACTAATTTTACAACTATGATAACTGTTACTTCCTCAACTTTTATTAACGGCTACTTCCTATATATATGCTTCTTTTCTTATTACTACTATCACTGCTAATACAACTACTACTACTACTACCACTAGTACTCCTAATCATTTTGAGGCAGTGGAGTGACTTGAACTCGCGACCATGCTTGCCTTAACCAACTCGATCACGGTGGTACAAAAGTTGACCAACCCTGAACTCGGCCAATCATGATCTCCCAGACTTCCAATCATGAGCTGGGAGGTTCTGGAGGCCCCAAAGCGGGCCTAACCAGGGTTTTTTTCAGAAAATGATTTTCATTTATCAAAATGATTTTCATTCAAATAATCAAAATGACTTTCATTGATATATCACGCCATTGTCACAATATATCAATGCGAGTACTACTACTACTACTATTACTACTATTCAGAGAACAATCACACTAATGTGATGTATCAAAGTATTAATTAATGAGAAACTCCGTAGGAGACGTGTGAAGATTCGAACCTATGTGCTGGGTACTCCCAGACACACGCCTCGGA